GTGTCCCTGGTCAAGTGAAAAGTCTCTCTTGGATATTTCCTTGTAGCCTGCCTCCAACAGTGACCAGTAGCACAATGCCAAAGCAGGGCAAGCACATACTGACAGTTTCCTGGCCTTTTTTCATCATCCAGTGATACCTGTTTCAGTGACTTTCCATCATAGTGCAAATGAGGAAAGTGCTTTCTTTTCTCAGGTGGTAGACTGGAAATGTAGGCTCAGGATGGAGCCATGCAGTCACCTTTTAACAGCTGTTTTAGTCTAACACTTTACTGCCTGTTAGTCGTTACAGCCTGTGTACCACCCTGCCTATAGCTGAGCCATTTTAAGGAACTGTGTGAGTGCTGTAAACTCACTGTATCACCAACTCAGCCACACACAGGGCTTGAGGACCTTGAATCTAGTTCTTTATGAGATAGTCACAGCTCTTTAAAACGGTACCACAATCAACTCTTTGCTCCTGCTTCTGTAACAGCTTTCAGCTAAAGGATGTGTATGTCCGTGCCTCAGGCATTCCAGGGCGAGTCAAATCTCTTAGCTCAAAGCTGTGTTTAATGGTGATTTTAGTTAGTTACGGGTCTCTGTATTGAAACAGCTGAAGCTCGGGTACGCGTCTTTCGTGGAGACAGTAATCTCTGGCAGATGAGCAGGGTGCAGTGAGGATGCTAAACATTGTAAAGCACTGCAGCAGGATTCAGTAGAGCTCTTCAGTCAAAACCTTTAAATTATGAGAGTTCATCCCATGTCAGGATAGGACGAAGGGTTCATATGCACTTTGTTGCAGTCATTCAGCTGTGGGTAGAGTGATCTTTCATTGAGGTACAGAAACAAACAGTTGGTGGACAGTGGTATCTTCAGCTGCTGCAACTGTTTTGAAATTCATCGTGAAATCATGTTTTCACTTGTTATAAAAAAGCAAAGAAGTCTGGCATACCTTTGACACTTCATGTTGACTGTACAATACATTGCAAATGTGAAAATACAGGGACACGATCAGATAGTTTTACACACGTGCCTTTGGTGGCTTTTGTTGTTTGGGTTTGATTTTCTTTTTGTTAACAAACCAGACACCAGTTAGCACTACTGTCTGAGTTTCTTTCTCCAGCATTACTCTACCTATATCTCATTCAAAAACGTGCTCTTTATAGACAGGGTCACAAAACAACAGAATTGCAGGCACCATTTTAAAAGTCGTTTATGTTAATTCTGTTGCTTTGTCACATTAATGTTGCAAAAATACTAGCAGTATGTGCCTTTGTCCCTTGCATAAAAATTTGTTCCCTACTTAACTTTAAAAGAAAATAACAACTGCATTCATACTGGCTTTATTTGTCATTACCTGGCCTGTAAAGAAAAGGAACAGTTCCTTGTATGGCATAGATTTGAGCACATTTAGGAACTTACAGTGTTGGAATATCATAGGTCCACACAGTCAATGACGAACCCCCTGAAGTCACCTTCAGAGGAGACAAGGGAGAGAGAGAAGCCCTGTCTACATACCGTGTAGTGCTTCCTCTCCCACAAACTTGCTTTGCAAACTTAATTTATAAATAAGCAACTCAAGGGCTTATGGTAAGGAAAGCACCAGTAAGAATGAGAACAGCATAGAAGAACCGTCATATGTGGAGATATAACCCCATTCTTATGGGTGGAGAGGGTTTATGGTTTGTTACTTTCTTTTTTTCACGATTTCCTGATTTCTGAGTTTAGCCAACAGTGACCGTGTGACACGGCCATTTTTGCATTTCCACTCAAAAGATTGCAAAAGTTATACTTTGTATGCAGAATCCTGGACTGAGAAGTGTACCAGCAACAGAAACTTTGTTACTTTAGCAACATATTGTGAACAAGGAAATACTGTGATAAACAGAAAAGGAATTATGCCAGGAAATTTGAGAAGATTCAAAGCAAAAGAGATCAAGTGTGTGCTTATTTCCTGATGAGAGTTTTTGTTACATATACCAAAGGAAAACAAGCTCCCAAAGCAATTTAGAACTCCAAACCTTCTTGCTCCACTCAGAATTGTAAGGGCTGTGTCTATTTTACTAAAGTTATTTATTACTGTGGTGTTCTATTTGATGTTGTTAGCCATAAGCCAAAATCTCCATACAAATAAAGCACAGCAAAACCAGAACAGCATCAAAATACTGCACTGTGTTCAATATTATTCCTAATAAGTACTGACCCTCTTCCAATTATTAGTTTAAGAATGCGTGCACTTAAAATTCATCTTTCTTCAACCAACTTCATGATATTTGTAAAAATTAAAAGCACTGGCACTTATGCACTTGAAAAAGGTCCTATTAATGAATTTCAAATCAAAATTCAATTTGTTCTAACAATGATGTGGTTGGTTTTAATTTGTAGACATCACGGGATCTGGCATGCTTCATTCAGTTTGAGAATATGAACGTTTATTACGGTTCTCAACACAAAGTGAAATACAAGGCACCTACAGATCACTGCTTTGTCTTAAAGGTAATGTAAAAAAAATAAGTTGCACAAATACCACACACAGTTTCTTTTATGTAAGTTTCTTTTATAAACTTGTTTAAGTTTGAAGCTCCAGGGACCCTCATGAGATAGAATACCACCTGCAAAATCATGTCTATGCTTCATTGTTGATCAACAACATACCTTTAGAACATTGATTTTAAGGACTTATAGTCCTATGATATATGTCTACATGGCATCTATGAAGTTGCCTTCAAAACAAGGCAGAATATGCTTCCAGTGACTGACTGGTCGAGATACTGGACACATCTGGACAAATGGCATGCAAGGCAAATGTGTGATGAGAAGACTTGCAGTCCCTAATGTCGAAATGATGAACATTATGGACTATACACTTAAAGTACATCTACTTTTTATTTGTAGAGTAGTCATATCTGTTGAGTGGTTTGAACTGAGATGCAAAATCTTGCAGGTATAGACATCTCAGGTGGCAGATTTTATTGCACAAGTATTTGTGACAGGAGGACAAAACACATTTTTCACCCACTCATGGAAATCAGTGCTTGCTGTTGAAATGAGCATCTCATTGCTGCCTCTTCAGGTAATTGCACTGCAAATAGACTGGGAATTCTGCATTCCTGTCAGGAAAGGAAGAAGGCCATTACATTTCACAGTTCAGATAGCAGAAATGAAGCTTTGAGGTTGCAGTAATTAGGCTTTGCTTGTTATCTGTCATTAATACAGATTTTAGAATGCACTGGGATTACTGTGTACAAGACAGAAGATAATCTTGTTGATGTATCTCTTATTTAAGGGCCTGCAGTGCAAATAAGATATTAGAAAACACAGTATCTTGCCATCTCAGGAAAAAGAAATACGGGTAACATTCACATCAGAGGTCACTTATACCACATTTCTGGCTGTAGCTGCACCCGTACAGCACTGTTTTATTCAGTTTCAAAATGCCTGCTAGCCTAATTTACACATGGCCAAGCAGAAGTGGTTTATAGACTCAGACTTATTTTCTGAAGCAGATGTATGTAATTAACACAGATGAGCAGTTCCAATAGTATAGTTCTCTGCAAAATGCTCTACAAAAAAACACTTTGTCCTTTTTTTATAAAACAGGCATGAGCCTTCTGAAGTTAGCAGGTAAGCATTATTTCTGAAAAAATACAAGTTCTAATGAAAAGAAGGAAAAGGGGAGCTGATTTAAAAAATAAGGGGAAAATTATTTTCTAAACAGATGTCTGGTCAAAGAAGTATCTGACTAATTTAGTAACAGTTACTCTCTTCAGATGAAAATAGGAGCATGTTTTTTGAAGTGTATGTAGCAACGTGTTTAACTGTTCACAGTGATTAGGAAAACTTTCTGGACTTATTGATGTATTTTTTGAAAAGAGGTATACTATAACTAAGAACGTACACCAAAAAAATACACCCTCAATGTGAAATGTGAAGAACAAGATCAAAAGCTCACTGGGGAAAGCTTTATGCATAATAGGCTTATAAATGTATGAAACCTACCTAGCAAAACTGTTTGCTCTGATGCCTGTAAAGTGTGTTTGCGGTATATTAGAATAAACATCATATTGATAAGATCATTATATCTGAGGAACACTACTTAGTGATGAACAGATTATGTTGATTATTCTTCATTTTAATTCCCACATATCAGCATTTGGTGGATTCCTGACCAGCCCAGTTTCAGACTTGGCTTCTGTTAACAGCTGTCTCTTGCAGTGGCTGGAGGTCATCAGGAAGTATGGGCAGGTATTAATATCTTCGAATCTTCTGCTGTTTCAAAGGTGGAAGCCTCTCACTTAGGGTGGCTTTCTGAGGGTGATGCAATGAAGAGTTCGTTATAGTTTCTGTACATTAATTTGAATCCTATATATACCTTTTTGAAGGCGTGCAGCTGAGATGAGTTCTGTTGTACCTTTCTCTTACCTTTTGGAGGTTGGACCTGAGGATGTAATATAATACATCTTAAGATCTGTGGCCTGAAGGAAGGAGCAGACTTAAATGTTGGTGTCTCTGATTGGATGCTTGGGGACACAAAAGTGTGTGGACAGGAACATGGAGCCTTTTATTACACTTAGTCACATTTTGTTTCTGTCTGGTTTTACTTGGAAATCCCCCAGAAGAAAATCTCTTTCTTACTGGGAGATGCTTGTCCTGAGATGTCAAAGGAAAACAAACCATCATCCTTGAGATGTTTCTCATCTTGCCATATTTTGATAATAAATTCCTAAAATGAAATGACAGTATTTTTGCAGACAGGAGCAGTGAGCAAAAGGCAATAGATTTTTAACAGGTAAACGTTTGTCTTTATTATACTGCTAATGTCATAATTTTGAAGGAATGTGGATGCCCAGCTCAGTCCAAGTTAAATGGAAATTTCTCCACAGCCAAGGCTGCACTGCTGTGTCTTCACAGCTCTTCCATTCCCCTGTGAGTGCCTTGGGACTGTGAGTGCTGCAGAGGTTCTCTTCCTGCTTGTGTGTTGGCTGCAGGAGATTATCTGTCTTTAAGGCAAATGGGTGGAAGTAATTGGAAGAGTAGCAGCCATAGCCCACGCTAGCTGTTCACTGAGAAAAGCCGTAAATCAAAGGAGTTGTTCCACATTTTGGAAAACAGGTTAATTTGCAGCCTTTATCAGCTGCAGTAAGCTGTAATGCCACTTGGGAAGTTTTTGAATAACAGCATACCACTACATTTTTTTAAAGAATTGTTGATTTTCTGATGATGAGCCTTCTAAAGAGAAAACTAGGCTAAAACCAGTAACATTCATACCTGCCTTCAAAGGTCCTGTGTCATATTAACAGGGTGGAAAAGATAAAACATTTCTTTTTGCCTCCCCCCAGCCTTGGTCATCTTTATGGAGTGAGGAGCCCAAACAAGTAGAACTTTCCTGCCATTTTTGCATCTATGTGCCAGATATCGACAACAACTTACAGGAAAGAAGAACCCAGTAACTAATGTCAATCACAACCCTGGTGGCTTGGTTTCAGCTAAAATAATGAGATTTCTCACATTGTCTGAGACTGCCCTGAACTATATGAACTGAACTTTTGCCTCAAAGTCTTCATGACATTTATTTGAATGTTGCTTCACCTTGATCTCTCTAAATGGGATGCAGGCTTTTTTGCAGAGACAGTGAGCCTTTGGTCCTAGTGCCTGTCCCAGCTAACATGCATCCCATCACCCATCACCCAGCACCAGCAGCTCCCTCTGTCCTGTTTCTTTTTAAATCTAGCCATTTAATTTCAACTTCGGTGGTGATACCTGGGTTACTTAGCTGATGCTGGCTTGGGTACTGGTGTTAGTGTAGCAACAAGATCAAGCATATCATGGGCAGGTTGCTTTGTTACTTAGCTGGAAGTTGGGACAGATTTTGCAGTCTATGATGTTGGAATTGTACCTAGGCTAGTTATTTTTAAGTAGCTCAAATAAAAATGTTCTTGTCTGCAGAGCTATCCTGTAGGATGTTTCCCTTACAGGTAGAGAAGCATGGTGTGTTGTGAGTGCTCCTTGCCTATAGTCTCTTCCCATTACATCAGCACCCCATTGTATATACAGTAACACAGAACAAAAGTGGGGTGTTTCTTACTTGTTTGTTAACCATCAAGTCAGATACCAGCAAAAGAGAGAGGAGTTTGCTGATCTTATTCAGCAGTTTCCTTTCAGGATGATTCAGGAGACAACTGCAGTAACTGAACAAAGCAGTTACTTCCTCATATCAGCGCCTCTCAGGCAGCAGAGAGCCCAGCTGGGACCAACTGAAAAGACCACAGCTGGCTGGTTGGTGTCAGAGAGCAAGGTCACCTTTAGCTGTCCCTGTGCAGCAAACCAGAACTGATGTGACTGGGTCCTGAGGATGAAAGAGCAGCCTGGAACAGGGGCTCCGATGGAGCTGGCTTTCCTTGGGCTTTGGGGGAAACTAGAAAGCTTGAAGAACTATCTTATTTCTCAGTAGCTACTTGGTCTGTGCTGAGCCTTAAATTGAGTTGTTCTGTACCACTGCTAAATAAGCCTTCCTCCCTCAAAGTAAGTCTCACATTTTAAAAACAAAAAACCCCACATATTTAATGTATTATATTATAATATATATATTCATAATATTAATAATATATATTCATTACATTAATAATTAATCCCTCAACATATTAAAAATAAAGCCTCTGAATAAAATAAATACTTTTGGGGCATCTGCTCCTGTAAACATGCAGATTCTCCCTATTTTCTGCTCAGCCTAAATGTTGTTTTTGCAAAAATTTAAAGATCTCACCCTTCATTTTGACATTGGATAAAAGTGAGTCTTTTCTTAATAGAGATGTCTATATGTAGAAAAGAGGAAAGGAAAGAGCAGCCAAGAGTGAAAGCAGACCCTCACTCAAAACCTGTATCTGTCAGAGTCAGATCTGTCTGAGGATCAGGCAGAGGAGGTGGGAGAGGGCAGCAGCACAGCTCTCCCCACAACCCTGCGGAGAGTGCTGGCCACTCCTGAGAGAGAAATGGTAAGGGAACAAAAATCTCTCTCCATCACAGCAAAAGTGATTTCACACAGCAAGTGGACAAGTTGGAGTGGTTTGGTTCCTCACAGTTGCGTTATGTTTACAAATACGATTTTTTCTGCAAAGGTTCCTTGTAGTTCTTCTCTTTCGCCATCTACTACACTACCTGGGAAATGCTGTGGAAATGGATGAGACCTTTTGTGATTTATTTCATATTCCCAAGCTGAAAGCCCTCAAAACCAAGAGATTTCACCATGAAGGAAGGGATCTGTGCATTGTGCTAGCAACGGTATCCATTGCACTGAGCAGAAATTGTGAACGTAATGTTTATTCTGTGCATTAAGAGTGTCTCTGTGTGTCCAGGAGCTGATTTTGTCACACCGTGTGGAAAAATCTTTCAAAGCAGACAAATAGCAAGGTAATCTATATGCAAATTTGCTGGTTTAGTCAGCCTGATGTGCCTGTGACAAAGAGTGGTTTTAATTATAGTTTATTGGTGCTGGTTGT